TGAATAGAGTTCGCTGGCAAGTTGATGAACCAGGAGAAAGCTACCCCTGTTAACGAACTAGGGAAAAGTCTCATTTTATGGTAATCGGTTACATCACCACTTTGCAACGTGAATCGCCCTATGTGTTCTAGAGTAGACACCTCTCCTAAACCAGTAAACAGTGAGAATTCTGGCACTTTATACCCTCTAGGCCATGGATATGCTTGGTCTACCCAATCGGGATATGGCTTTGTGTATGTCGACCTAATGACAGGACACACCCCAAAGGCCATCTGATCCTGCACGATTTCCATAATCTAGTTCCTCAACATGACATTGGGATCATATGGAATTCCTACAGGCTGGTTAACCGGTTGATTTGCATGAGGTCTGATGTTTGGTCCTTGATTGGCAACAAAATTACCATAATTAGGTCCATTACCGTTAGCCTGGACATCCGTTCCTTCATTACCACGTGGAATATTCTGTCCATTGTTTAGGACATTATCTCTCACGTTTGAATTACCCCCCAAGTTAGGCATGCCACTACCATTATTTTGATTTGGCACTGTAGTACCTCCTTGGTTTGAAGTAGAGGGACCAGAAAGCGACTCCACCCCTTGATTCGGATTTAGGACAGAGGGATTATGTCCCACAATTGTCCTAATTTGAAAGTGGTTTGTAAGAGGTATAGTCGGTTGACATATTTGGCCTACTAACTTATTCATTGTTTCGTTTAACGTCTTTAGCTGTTTGGCCATATTGTCATAGTGTGCATTTCCATTTTGTGTAAATCTTTCCATATTATGAATATTTCGAAGATTTACCTGTTCAACGACGTCTTGCGTGAGTTCTCCAAGCAATGCACGCATGGTTCGAGGACTCAACTCCGTCATTGGTTCGTAACGACTGTTACTGCTCTGATTTTGTCCATCTGTTCGTGGAGAGGCATGCTGCTCCTCATATCGCTCGATTACAGACTGGATTCCTCCCTGACTTGCTCCTTCCTTGTCGGATCTCTGAGGCATATTGTTTCACCTTTTGTATTTTCAACACCTAACACCACAGTCCCACCGGGCGTGCCAAATTGTTTCGCGCGGGTTAAGTCGCTAACAATTAAAAAGGGTTAGACGATTGTGTAAGAGACGAAACCTCTTGAGACAAAGTCCCAAAAAGGGGTGTTCTTTTATTGGCGATGGACTTTACAATTGGGAATGAAAAACAACGTGCCTCCAAGGGGCGCAAGCACACGAGTTACAGAAAGAAAAAATGTTTAAGTCTAAAAGTTAAGGAAATGAAAATTACATATTCTCTGTTTGAGAGTTTTGGATTCGGTCCTTTGCTTCTGCGTCCTTTCTCCCTTTTATACCTCATAGACGATCTCTTTGTGATTAACTACCCTGAAAAATGCTTGATCGTCCTATAACTACCCACTTCCTTTGTAGTGGCCATTTTGTCATGAAACTGCCTCTTAACTGCTGTCATTATCTTTCATCGTTCAACCGCTTTCGATTGAATTCCTTGAGTCGTTGAACGTGATAAGGCTACTTTAACAACTGCCTTGATAACTGCATTCCTTGATAACCACGATGCGTTATATTTGTTGATACCTTGGGCGACTTGAAGGTTTGGACGAGAGTGGAATAACAGCTCTGGGCGACCGTATGACACTCCATTCGTTCAGATTCTGGGCGACTCGCAAACTTGGGCGATGGCGTCACCGCATTCTTGGGCCCCTTATTTGGGCCTTCACCTTGATTCGTTCGATTGGATTTCGTTCTTTGGGCTATCCGATTTGGGGATCCTTCAATTGGACTTTACTCCTTGGGCCGTTCGATTTGGGCTGAATTTTTATATGACAACAACTAGGTTCAAGTCTCTCGGCCACAAGTTGGGCATTTGATACGATTCTGAACAAAAGTAATGATCTTCAAAGACAAGTAACAAGAGAATATATATATAAATACGCCAAGCCTTGCAAAAAAAGACACAGAACTTCCATTATCCAAAAAGTTAAAGTCACTATCAGATGTAAAATCCATGTTAATGAAGACAAAATAGAAGGGGAAACAGGTCAATGAAAGTATGCAGATAGGGATTTTTTTTTATTTTATTTTTTTTGGCAGCAAACCCACTTACAACTTTGCTGAACAACTCACAATGAGTAAATGTGAGGATTGCATATAATTGCAAAAATGAGATCCAATTAGAAAAACTAGCAGCATTTAGATCCCAATTAGAGCTCAAATTCTTCATCCCGAAGAGCCATTTCTGCTGCCTGTTCCTCCTCCTCATCCAGCGCAAAATACTCATTCTTCTCCAGCGGCCTAAACATGTAGAATATTACAGCATAAAATGCAAGACTTGCAATCTCCTCAGCTGCATTAGACACCCATTGGTACTTGTAAGCAGCAATGGTCCTGAGCGCAAACACCACGATCCTCGTGAAGTACAAGTACCCAATAACCACAATATAAAACTGCCTAAAAAGGGTCAATTTAGACAAGTTCCTTGCAGCCTTCCCATCGGTCTTTGATGTCTCCCTCAAAGATCTAATGGACCACACAGTCGGGAAAAGAATGGCACAGCAACAGATAATATCCACCAACAGGAAAAGCTGATTCCATGTCACCCAATCCTTAATAAAGGGCCCAGTTTCCCCAATCACAACAGAAGCCACGTTTGCCAACACCTGCAAGGGGATCACGATCATCAACACTTTCTTCTCCCTCTCCTGCAAGAAGGGCTTCAAGAACGACCACCCGGTACCGATCAAAATGATCACCGTAAACAACAAAATCACCCTAATAAACTGAAAAATGTAAAACAAAATATCCCATCCATGAGGGGTGCCTGTAACCTTCACATAATGCTTATCCTCAGCAGCACAAAGCAAATTCAATGCCTTCATAATTACCAAAAGCCCCATCAGGGCATGGATTCTATGCACAGACTTCCTATTTTTAAAACAAAAAGAAACCCAGAACCAAAATAAAACAAAATAAAAAATCGAAAAGAATGAATACAGGGTGGGCAGCTGGGTAAGTCCAGCAGATAAATAATCCTTGACGCTGCCACGATCATCAAGATTATAAAGCTCGGTGTTGACATCCATTGAAACCGTAGATTCAGGAGCGCAATTGGCAAAGAAAAGGGAGTATTCATTCGGAGAGGGAATCGGGTACGAATGGGTGAAGGAGGAGCGGGGAGGAGGGGATAGGTCCCTGAAAGTAAATAACAGGTCGACGTATTTAGAATCGAGGACGCAAAAAGAAGGGTTCTGCTGGAGCTCATAGAGCACTTGGATGAGGGATTCCTCTGATAGGAGGAAAAAACCAAGGCGGGATGGATCCGGCGAGGTGACGGAGGAGATCACGGACACGGAAGAAACGGAAATGTTGGCGTGGCCGGTGTGTGTGAAGCCGAATCGCTCAAAAAGGATCATGGCCCGGGAATCGGAGGTGATCTTGAGGGACTTGATCTCAGCGGCGGCAGGGCGGAGAAGAAGGTGGATAAGGAGGAATGAGAGGAGGAAGGGTAGTTTCGTCATATTGATAAATGGTGGCGGGCGGAGGGAAAGCATCGACCGGTGGAGGAAGACGGGGAGATGGGGTCAAAAAAGGGGAATGAGTTGTATTGGCAGGCACTCAAAACATATTTGCTCAAAGGCCTTTGACCAGAAATAACGAAATAAAAGAAATCTTAATTATTTAAAACTATCAAAAGACCATTTCAATCGAGTTGATTATATTACTTCGTATTCTTTAGATTTGAGTTTTGTTAATTGGTTCAGTTGATTATATATTTTTCTATATTATACTATTCAAATGTTTAACAAACAATTGAACAAGATTTGATCATTTGGTTTTGTGATTTAATAACTACATACTTGTAAGAATGAGTTGAGTAATGTGGATAATTATTAAGTATATATTGGAGTAATTGTTACATTTCAGGGAATTATTTGCAAGACAGACTAGCATTAGAGGCTCCTACCTAAAACTTCAATTAGTTCCTCTGTTTCTAAGCTAGAAGTGCTGGAGTATTTAAGTTTCCAAAAAAACCTTCTAAGATGTTGCCAAAAGTGTCCTTTGAACTTTGCATCTCGAACCAAAATAA